CCGAGTATCTGCGCAGCCGAAACTTCAGGGATGTACACGCACTTTCGTAAGGAGGACCTCCTTAGGGGGAGGGGGTAGTGTAAGGAAAAATCATTCTCCTTACTTCGCGTCCCCGCTCAGCGCGTACATCACTGTAGCACCACAGTCAGCACCGTTACCACTCGCAACTCTCGCATCGACAATCCTCCCGCCACCTTCGCACGTCGCACCCCGACGTCACGGCTCGGCGGGTAACCCGCGCTTCGGGCCTCCGCTTCGACACTTTTCCCAACCTCAGTCCCAGGCCCGTCACGCGACAACCATAGTCAATTACCGTTACCAATGTAGTCTCGCTATATATTCTTCGCTCATGCCTTCGCTCATTTGTACTTTTTGCTTCGATAGTGCAATTCTCGCTCGCTCACTCAATTGCACTCGTAGCAATTTTGAAACACCTACATAAGATAATTGCACTTCATAGTGCTAGTGTTCATATGTGAAAAGAAGTGATAACGATGCTCATTCTCAACAGAACGATCTTCATGATTTATTTTCATACATCGTTATTACGACAAAGATCTGCATTCTAGTTTACGAGGTTGTCCTACATATACAGCTTGACAATTTTGCTGGTTAATCTAACAGCATTTACAGATTTTGTACAAACATTCACAACACTAACGAACAGCTCTTGATCGAGTTATCTGTCACGTGATCTCTGTCCACGTAAGCAGCCACCTGGACTCGCGAAATCCATGCCTGCGTTGGCTGACGCATGGTATTGCTGGAATCTACGCCTTTCCAGGGTCTTTGCAAGCCTGAATTAGCCTCTGATTGGACGTGAGATACCTCCGGGGTTTCCATTCCCGTTCGATATTTGGAGCCAGCTGGGCGCTGCCGCGTGTCTTAGGAGTACAGTTGCGTGGCTGCTGAGCGGCTCCGTTAGGCATTCCAATTGAGCTTCTGGTGCGCGACTCGGATGACTCAGGCGAATAGAAGGGCACAACTAAACAGCTTCAGCCCTTTTATCCTGGGGAGATCCAATAGCGGGGGGAGTTGAAACTTGAAAATCATCCTTACCCAATGGGCTCGCTCCCATAAACATTCTGTTCGGCTGACCTGCCTGTTAAATCCTGACCGAAGCGGGCCGCTCTGCCCGGCTGTTTAGACCATGCTCCTCCCATCCCACCCATCACATGACATTCAAACCCTTAGCTCGGCCCGCATGCACATGAAGTTGCAGTCGCTGCCATCAAACTTGCCTCGAACCTTTTCCGCCACTGCTTTCAGTTGTGCTGCCGAAGCATATCGGGCCCCAGTTCACGTGTTTCATGCTTTACGTGTTTGCCCTAACTCAAATTCAAGTCTTGTACAAAGTCTAATCGCCTCTTTTTCAACTACTAAATCCAGCCGGCAGTTGAGCTCAAAGCATCTCTCGGCCCGCTGACTGTTTTGAACTGGAACAGGAGGTCTCTCGTGCCATTCTCCTAGAGTGGGATTTGAATATTTTCAGGCGACTTTATGTTATCTGCTCAACCAGCGTATGATCAGCGGTCCTCATTTTTCAAGATCACCTGCACCTACTAATAATACACGCACTGGCGCAAGTGCGTGTTTCTTGACTGTGTTCCGTTAAAGCGCATTCAAAAATTTCTCGACGCTCCGTCCGTCAGCATGCAACCTGCCACTACTTCAAAATTGCACGAAGCTTACAGAAAACAGCCTGCGCCGTCCAAGGCGCAAACCGTTACAAAAAATCCGGCAAGGAGTCGTCCGTTACCGTTGACGTCGCTGAACCACGTGTCCATCCATTGCAGCAATGTGGAGCAGTCAGTGAATTTCTACTGCGACGTCATGGGATTCGTGCCCGTGCGCCGCCCCGACTGCCTCAACTTTGACGGCGCCTGGTATGCGTCGCAGGCCCTAGCGTCAATGCCATGCCAGATAACGAATCCGTGAACCTTGAACGTGCTGTTCTTGATTTTCAACCAGTGGAGAATAGCCTTGTACTTTTATCAGCTGCGCTTGACTTTGTACGAAGTAACGTTCACCCATTTCCTTCCGCATCTCAGGTTGTTCAACCATGGGATTGGAATTCATCTGCTGGGGCAGAGTGCGGATCCCCACGCACCGCAATTGCGAGTCCCGAAGGAGATTAACCCGAAATCGGACCACTTCTCGTTCCAGGTAAGAGCACACAGCGTCCCGTACCTTGATTCCTCGGACCCGTCGGCGCGTTCATAAACCCGGAGCTTGCTTCCTTGGCCATTCTTACCACTCATGAATATCGCTTCACATTACTCTCGTTTTCTTGCTTCCAATGGTGCCGTTTCAGTGTGACGACATCGAGGAGGTGGAGAGCGGTTTGGAGGAGCGAGGCATTCCGTTCCTGCGGCAGTGCGTGGAGGAGGCGGGAATCATGGTGGAGCAGCTCTTCTTCCACGACCCTGACGGCCACATGATTGAAGTCTGCAACTGCGACCTGCTTCCCGTCGTGCCACTCCAGGCCGACCCTGACATGCCACTCACTCTGCCGGCCTGCGTGCGTCGTAAGCCTCAGGCTTGTGGGAGGCAGGTGCTGGAGAAAGGGCAGCAGGAAAGCTGCAGCCATAGCAGTGATGATAGTGGCAGTGAGAGCGGTTGTGATGGTTGGAAGGAGAGGGAAGTGAGTGAAGGGTCTGGGGCAGACGAAGGGTTCTGCAACACAAATCAAGTTGTGGAGCAGCAGGGTGGAAGTTGCACAAGAAAGGTGGCATGCTAGTGAGCATGCTTGTTAGTAATATTGCATTGATTGCGTATCATTGATCTTGTATATCCTGTAAATCATTGATGCATCCGTTTAATTTGTACCATTTCTTGTATTCATTTTCTTGGGCGTGCCATAGCCATGTTGTTTAGGCGGAAATTAATGACCCACCAACGCCAAGTTTGAATCATCTTTCAGTTCTTAAAGACGCTGAACCCAAAATAGCATTGGTGCTGTCCTAAATCCCAAACCCAAAACCTCGCGTTATAACGCGTATGCGATGCTAATTCCAACTTTCTCACACCCTGAGCCCGTGCGAATGCACGTGGCTACATCCGCGCCCCCACCGCGCGTATCGCCCACCCAACCACGTCGCGCCTCGTGTCCTAGCCTCCCCGCCTATCCCTCAGCCTCACTTCCTCAGCGCACGCCTATCGCATCCATGTCGGCTTGCGACTGCCTCCCGCCATGCACCCTTCCGCCTTCACCGCCCTTTCCCGCAGGGAGGTTGGCCGCGCGCCTCTCTTTGGTCAGCGCGCGCGTGTATGCTCCCCCGTCGGCACGACTGACCCTCCCCCTCTGCTCCCCGGCGGCTCCGCTTCCGCCACTCCCCGCGCGCAGTACTGTCCCCGCGCGCTTCCTGGGTATTTGAGTGCGCGCGCGTGGGCGTCGCTGCAGCCTGCGGCGCATGACTGCTACGACTACGCGCTCTCGACTTCCGCTTCCGCCATGCAGGCGCGTTCCGCGCATTGCGCAAACCGTCCAGCATACCTCCTTACAGCCCGCGCGCCTTACGCGCCCCTCCCCACCCCCGCCCACCTCACTTCCTTCCCACACACTTACCTCCGTTTCCTCATCTCCCTCCCTCTCCCCTCCACCCTCCCCTCGTTTCCTCCGCTTCCCCCTTTCCCCCCCGCAGGTGGACCCCGCGGAGCAGCGCTATCTTCTGGTGGGCAGCGCGGCGGGCGCAATAACCGCATTCGACACCGCCGCGCCCACCGCCGTCGACGCCTTCGCGCACCCCTGCCACCCGCCCCTCTTCACCCTCCCCCGCGCGCCCTCCTCCGACTCCGCCGCCTCCGCAATCGCCGCGCGCGCGCTCGCGGACGCGTCCGCAGCGTCCGCGGCGGGCGTGGCGCACTCGCTGGCGGTGACGGGCGTGGCGTGGTACCCGGTGGATCCGGGTCTGTTCCTCTCCGGGTCCCTCGATGGCCTCGTGAAGCACTGGGATACCAACACCCTCCAGGCGTGTGCCCCTCTTTCCACTCCACACTCCCCTTTTCCACCTGTCCCCCGGTCTTCCTTGCCCCCCTTGTCGTCCTCTTCACCCTCAGCTGACCCTTTTCGCTGGCATTGGCTCTCGGTTTCTCCTTCTCCCCATCTCCCTCCTCTCGCTCACACACATGCTTCTTGTCTTGTATCCTTCGAGTGCATACCCCTACACACATCCTTCCTGTGTCCCCCCTTACTTTTATCTGCTCCTTCCTCACCAGCCTTGCTCGTCATCCCGCGCATGACACTCCCACCCCCCAATCACGCCCGGCCTTATCCCGCCAGGCGCTGCTGGCATTCCACATGGCAGGGCAGGTGCGGGACGTGGCCATGTCACACGCACAGGGGGCGCCACTGCTGGCAGCGGCGGCGTGTGAGGACGGCAATGTGCGCCTCTGTGACCTCGCCTCAGGCGCTGCCACTCACATGCTGCGCGCCTCTCAAGGTGCCTCTCAAGGTGCCTCCCAAGGTGACTCCCAAGGTGCCCCAAGCCTCTCAGCTGCCCCCCCTGGTGCCTCTCCCTCCTCTCCCTCTGTCCCCATCCACCTCTCGTCCCCACACACCCCTCCCTTCTCCGCCGTCCCCATCCTCCTCCCCCGCCCCCCTCCCCCTACCCACCCAACCCAACCCCCCCCACCCCGCCCCAGGCGCCATCACGAGCCTGTGTTGGTCACCCGCGTCGCCCTTCCACATGGCCTCGGGATCATCAGCGGGCGCCATCCGCATCTGGGACATCCGCCGCCCGGCCCCGCTGCACTCGCTGCACCACCGCCACTCGCAGCCCGCCCTCCGCCCGCCCCTCCTGCCACACGTGCTGCCGCCGCCCCCGGCATGCCGGGCGGCAGCACAGGGAGGAGGAGGGGGAGAGGCGGCGGGGAAGGGCGGCAGGGGGGCGAAGGCGTTGAGAGGGCAGAGAGCAGTGAGAGGGCGGGCAGAGGAACGGGTTGGGGGTGTGGGGAGCGAAGGGAGGGGGTTGGTGGATGGGAGGGGATTGGTACACAAGCGAGGGAGGGAGGAGAGCGTGGGTGCTGGGAGGAAGGGGGCGTGCGAAAGATGGAGGGTTTCAACGGCGGTGGGGAACGCAGGGAAGAGGCAGGGGAAGGCGGGGCGGAATGAGGAGAAGGATCAGCATGGGTTTGTGGGGTGGTGGGGGGGAGGAGGGGGTGTGCGTGTGAGAATTGGGCAGATGGGAAGAGGGCAAGGCGAGTGGGGGAGGGGAGGGGTGGGGCCGCAGCGGCAGTGGAGGGATGAGGCAGAACAGGCGGCGCACGAAGGGGCTGTCCTCTCCATGGCTCCCACCCCCAATGGCCTCTTCCTCCTCTCCTACGGTCTCCTCTGCTCTCCACCTCTCTTCCCTTCTCTCTCGCTAGCTCACCCCAACCTCCATTGATGGTGTTCCTCTAATCGCGTTCACGCCCACCCGATATTGCATGCATGCCAACTGTTCAGATCAGATTGTGCTCCTTCTTGGGTTAGCTGCTGTGGAAAATGCACACGTCCGCCTCACCTCTCCCTCACCACACACTGCGCTTGCACACCCCCGCGCTGTTGTCACACGCCTTCTCACTCTACTACCTCAGGCCTCTCACCCTCGTAGCGCCGTGTCTCCTCCCCTCCCTTCCCCCCCTCCCTTCCCCCCCTCCCTCTCATCCGTGCACAGGCTCAGACCAGCGATTGCGACTGTGGGACGTGGAGGCCGGCGCCAACACGCTCATCCATTACGCAAATCAGAGAGCGCCACGTGGCGCGCTGGCGTCAGAGGCCACAGTGCGGTTCTGCATGTCCCATGACGGGTCGCTGGTGTTCCTGCCTCAGGGGCCAGCCATCCAGGCAAGCACAGGCTGCTGCTTCTGCCACCACCACTGCTGCTGCTCCTGCTGCCACCACTGCTGCTGCTCCTGCTGCCGCCACTTCTGCTGCAAATGCTAACATGGGATTGCCATAACTGTCTGACTCTTCCTCCCCTTCCCACATGCCTCTGCAGGTGTTTCACACATGGACAGGGGAGTCCCTTGCTTCTCTGCATGCTCACTTCGACAACGTTATGCTTTGCTGCTCTCACCCCGCCGTCCCCGTGCGTCCATCGCTCTCTCTCTGTTTGCATCTTTCTCAACCTCTCGCATATTGCTGTCATTTCGTTGCTGTTGCAAAATGACAGCAGGCCCATTCCCCTCCGCCTTGTTGCGCTCTTTTCCCCTCCGCCCATTCCCATTCCAATCTCCCTTCCAGTCTTTCCGTCCTAAAATCGGTTCTTGCACTCTTCAGTTCTTTGTCTGTGCTCCTCTTCTCTCCACCTCTCCCCCTTTCAGCAACTCTTCTCTTCCGGTGCAGACCGCCAGCTCCTTTCCTGGACATCCCCTTTCCTAGACCAACTTCACTCGCCTCAGTCACACTCATCCACTGTACGCCACTCCTCATGCTTCCTCTCTGAAGCCGAAACCCGAAACCATGACATGTGTCTCTCTCGTGCTTCATGTTCCCTCTCTCTTCCTTGTGGCTTGCTTGATGATTTGCGCCGAATTTTGCTAAACTGCACATGCAGTCAAGATCACGGGCCTTTGTACGACATACACAACAAGGACCTCTGCCTGACGAAGATGCATGGAGTGACTAATGCACAGGGAAACGTGATGGTTGCATACCAGTTTCTTCGTTACAACATTTTCTCTCTTTTACCGAAAAAGGGTCAACATACGGTAGGTTGATCTGACATGCATGTATGCTAGATATTGTTCACTTGTATGCTAGGTTGATCTTATTTTGTTGTCATCTTTTCTGGGGCAGAGGTCAGTGTAGGTCATGATGCGTAGGTATATCGAGCTATAACTGTAGTGATCCTTGAGCAAGTCGCACATCCCATCCCTTCTACCCGAGGTGGATTGGGTTTGACGCTAAACCGGCGAAAATGCCGTTTCGTATACCAGCCGTCAGTTACCCTTTTCCGGTCTGACGATTACCGTCCAGTTGTGTGGCCTCCACCCCGTGAAGCTCCGATCTCGTCTCGACATTTCCAAGGCTTCTCCCGTCCTGTTGGCCGCAGCCAGGGCAGTGGGGTCGCAGGATTGGCCAGGAGGAGACAGGCGAGACATGATCACCCACACGTGACGCGTCAGTCAGGCGACAGCAGCAAGAGAGAGGGCAGATCATCAGATAGTCCACACACGGAAGATCTAGGGAGTAAATAGTAACTAGAGCGATCTGGGCTGCAGCGCATAGTGTTGCGCTTGCGAAGGTAGACGCGGGCCGTGCGGGCTCGTAGGCGCCTCATTTTTGCCGGATTCTCCGCCTCCAGCGGCCTCGTTGCGTGATTTAGCGCACGCGCTAGTGGCGTTTCGCTTGATGACCGTTGACGATACCGCTGCGAATATATTTAGACAAGCCCTTACGGAAGTGGGCACGCGCGTCGCCAGCATTCGCAGTTAGTGTTTTTCGCTCGTGCGCCACACGTGCGTGTATTTTTTCCTTCTTCTTTCCCGAATCTCCTCAACAACCTAAATCACGGCTGACGGCGAACAGCAAGGTTAAGCGGAACGCGGTGAGGATCCGCCATGGCGGACCCCATCTATTCTGCCTTCCCTCCCCCCTCCTCCTCCTCCTCTTCCTCTTCCTCCGCCTCCGCATCCGCCTCAGCGTCCTACATGAATACTGGTTCCGCGCCTGGTCGAGGCGCGGTACCTATATCGACTGTGCTCTCCCCGTCATCCGGCGTCGCGACGTCCAACACAACCACGTCTCCATATTTCTCCACCGCGCCTTACGCCTCGTCTTACACCTCGCCCTCCTCCTCCGAGCCTCCCGCGTCCTACCGGTACTCGCCTTTTAAGAGATTCAACCGCATCAACCTGCGCTTTAAGATCTCATATTACACACAATGGGGGCAGAATCTCATGCTAAGCGGCTCGGATCTGCTTCTCGGGAAGTGGAACATTAAGCAGGGCGTGTGGATGACGCCTCATCACGAGGGCGAGTTCCTCGTCTGGCAGGTAATTGATTTAAATCCGTCCCGCAGTGGACTCAATAGCGCGTATAAACGTCTATCCGTGGTTCCCTTCGTTTCCTCTTCCGAGAAGGTGCGGGCACCGAGGGTTCAAGGTTTATGGCGGGCAGCTGCCAGGCCGCGTTTTGCTTCAGTATGACGTTTAAGGGCTCAGGGTTCAGAACCAGAAGCCGTCGTACGCAAAGTTCCGCTTTGCGAGTAAGCTCGTGGGAGTATCTTAGCAATGGCGCGGCCGCGGCGACACGATGACGTGTGAGACTGACTTTCGAGTCGACCCAAAAGTCGCTTCGTTCTGTGCCTTTCGCCCGTTCGTCACCGATGGACCGTCCTGCTGATGTGTGGGGCACGTTAGAGTTGTTTTCGGCCTGCATTCTCGCGGCGTAGCGTGCTGCGCGTAGGCCTTCGCAGGAGCGACATAGACCGCAATGCATACTGAGTATGGCGTTCCGACGAATCCATGGCTCACATTGCGGCGCCACTCTCCAGCTCCTAGTGCCCCGCTCCGCTTTCCTGTCAATCGCATGCGTCCCCTCTCCATCGTCTTTCACCCCCTTCCTTTGAAACCTCGCAACCCCCCAAACTTCACCGCTCACCCTACCATGCCTCCTTCTCCTGCTCCCCCACCCCGTACGCGCACAGCATTCCACTCCGTCCCTTCACACCCCCCTCAAACTTTTCCCTGGACCCCTCCCTTCCCCTCGTTCCTTCCGCCCGTTCCCCCGCGCCTTTTCCCGCGCGCGCGAGCAGGCGCTGATATCGGTGCCGGACAAGTTCGAGCTGGACTACAAATACGCGTTAGTGGACGAGAAGCTCAACGTCATCAAGTGGGAGTCCGGCGACACGCGCCGCCTCATTCTGCCCGACGGCCTGCCAGATGGCGCCATGGTCGACGTGCTTGACACGTGGCAGGTGCGCTGGCAGCGGGTCTTTCTCTGCCTGTCCCCCACCCCTCCTCCCTCCATTCTCCCTCTCCCCTTCCGCCTCCCCCCCCTCCTTTTTTTCTCTCTCTTTCTGCCCCTCTTCCTCTCAATCTGAGCAAGGGCACGGGCTAGTGGTCACGGAATGAAGTGACTCAAATGATTCACAGGAGCATATATTAAAAGGACTATTTCAGCCGGAGATCCTGAACCAAGTGGGGCAGGTAGGGGCCTGACAGCGGGGAAAAGAAAAGAGTAGATCTGGGAGGGGTATGAAGCTAGGTGGTGAGAATGCGCACGAGCGTTGCTTGCAGTGGACGTGCAACACGGCCTCGGGGTAGAGAGAGAGAGTGCATCTGGCTGGCATGAGCCAAAGCGCTCTTTGTCTTGCCCCATCACGGCTGGCTATCATCAGCAAATAGAGGCGGAACTATCCATCAGTATGCTGCATGGATGGAGGTGCAGCAAGGCCAGCATGCGGAGAAGGAAGCTCGCATTGTGCAGTGCTCCTCTTGTACTTGCGTGCTTGCTCTCGCTGCTCGCACGTGGCAGCCTCCATTGTGGCAGAACCTGAACGGCAGGGCGGTTACTGGTTGGTGTGCGGATATTGAAGCACGGTCCACGCTTTGCGTTGGTCAGTCGGACTCACCATTGGGTCTTTCCGCCCCCCACCCCCCTGTCCCGTCCGCGCCCTGTTCCCGTGCATCACCTCACCACCATGGGTGTGTGCGTGTGTGCTGCCGCCTGCATGTGTGCAATCATTCGCCTCCATTCGCGCCTCTCACGCATGTCATGTCAGGACGGGTCGTCCCCCGAGACGCTGCTATCGCGCAACGCATTCCGCAAGGTCATCTTTGGCAAGGCGGCGCAGGCGGACGACGACAGCGACGACGCACCCACTGCACTGCCACCGCTGCCGCCAGAGCTCTTCGAGTCTAAAGGTGTGCAGCGCTTGGGAGGGGGGTGATGGGGTCGGACACAGGTGTATGTGGCGGGACACATGGGTCGGGTGCAAGGGGTGGGGGAATAGCGGTTGATTGGAGGAGCGGTGCTGCTTTAGGGAAGTGGAGGGATGGGCTGTGCGGCAGGAGGGGTTGATGCAGGTTGTTGCTCACCATGTGGGTGCTGTGGCGGCCATGCTGGTGCATGCATCTCGAAGTCTTTGAAACCTGATGGTTGGGAATGGGATCACTGGGTAATTCATTCACAGGGGCCTGCTGGTCTGGGGGAAGGGTCTGGAGAAGCATTGTTGTGTGTTGTGGGACGGGGCCATGCTGATGCCTCTGTCTGCGCTCACCGTTTCCACTGCCCACATGCCCTCTTGCCTGCAGATGACATTGTGCTGAGATTCAGAGTGAACTGCTCGCGGCTAGACAAGGGCCAGAAGGTGCGCGCTCCTGCCTCAATGGCGTGCATAGGCGCACGAGTGCGCTCTGTGTCTGTCTGTCTGCTGCATGCTAGTCAGCATTCGCTCACATGCCCTGCTGCCACGCCTGCACATGCATTCATGCACGTGCAAGCATGCAGAGCTGCTGTTTACCAGTACAAGTGCAACTCCTATCGTCCATAAATGCCCTGCCATCTCTCTGCCGCTCGCCGCAGGTGTGTGTGACGGGCAGTGCACCCCGACTGGGCGCATGGGAGGCGGGGGGGTGTGTGCCCATGACGCGCACACACGGCACACTCTGGGAGGTCGACCTCTCGCTACCACGCCACGAGTTCCCCATTCGATATCCTCTCCACGCCCCTCTTCCATCCTTACAACCCATCCTTCCACCCACCCTCGCTCCCTTGCATCTCCATCCTACCTTCGCGTACCTCCCTATCCCTCTGACTCACTGTGTTTTGTGCTATTCCATTTTTTGTACGCGCACTGAACCGTGCTTTTCGCTCACCCCGAACTCCACTCATCTCTCTTGCACCCTCGGCACATACGGTTCTCCTTAACTACTCGCCACCCCCATCGTTGCACTTCTTTGTTGGCCTTCGGCTTCTTGTCTTTCCTTCTCCTCCTCTTGCTGCCCTCCCCGCCCCTCTACCTCCTTTCCTCTCGTCTCCTCGCCTCTCCCCTCCTCGACTCTCCCCGCCTCTCCGCTACGTTCCTTGCCTCTTCTCCTGCGTGACACCAACACATACAAGTACTGTCTGCGGGATGCGGACGGCTCAGTGACATCGGAGTACGGCAGTGACATAGAGCTGGGGCTAGACACCTCGGCGCGCAAGCCCTCCATCATGATCTTTGTCTCTGACGGCCACTTCAGAGTGCGTCCACACCACACCTTCCCCGCTCTCCCCTTGCTAATTTATAATTTAGACTTCATTCGAGTTCTCATCCCAATCCCGTCCAACTTTGCAGTGTGTCTTGCGCTTTCCCTCTCTTCGACGTCCCTCTCTCCCTCTCTTCGACGTCCCTCTCTCCCTCTCTTCGACGTCCCTCTCTCCCTCTCTTCGACGTCCCTCTCTCCCTCTCTTCCCCTCTCCCTCGCCCCCCCTCTTTCTGCGTTGGCCAGTGCCTCTGGTCGACTCCTCACTCCCGCCCCTCCACTTGCCCGCTCGTACGCGCCACTGATTTCTCCTCTCGTTTCAGCCCTCTCATCCCCCTCACACCCCCACCGCCTCTCCACACTCACTCCCACACTCACTCCCACACCCACACCCACACCCACACCCACACCCACACCCACACCCACTCCCACTCCAACTCCCACCCCCACCCCCATCACCACACCCACCCCCACCTCCAACCCTCCCTCTCTTCCTCCACACCTTTGGCGCAGGCGAACCCGTGGCGGGGAGCAGGAGTGGCCATCCCAGTGTTCTCCCTGCGCTCCAAGGAGAGTGTGGGCGTGGGCGAGTTTGCGGACCTGCGTCTGCTAGTGGACTTTGCACACAGTGCGGGTCTGCGCCTAGTGCAGCTACTGCCTGTTAATGACACCTCTGTCAATGACATGTGGTGGGACTCCTACCCGTACAGGTCAGTCCCTTCCCCACTTCCCTGTGTGTTTTGAGTCGACTCAATGCGCCTCGTGCAGCTACTGCCTGTTAATGCCACCTCTGTCAATGACATGTGGTGGGACTCCTACCCGTACAGGTCAGTGTCTCTCCCACGTCCCCCCCACGCTCCCTTTCCTTCCTACTACTCCTCTCCTAAATCTCTCTGCCCCCCAGCTGTCGTTTGTTCTCTGCTCCCATCTGTCACGTTCTCCCCTCTGTCACGTTCTCCCCTTCCCCGTTCTCCCGCCCTCCCTGGGCCGTTGAGAGCCTCTGCTCAATACCTCTTCCCCAACCCCCCTTCTCCCTCGGCCACTCTCCTCCCTTTGTCATCCCCACGCCCACCCCATGCCTACCGAACCCCCGAACCGACGCCCACACGCGTGCAGTTCGCTCTCGGTGTTCGCCCTGCATCCGCTCTACCTGCGACTGCAAGCGCTCGCCCCCAACCTGCCCGCACAAATCCAGGTGCGCCCCCTCCGCTGCCGTGGAGGATGTTACACAGCGTCATGTTCTGCACACTCTTCCGTTGGCTCCCTGTCAGCCCCACACATGCCGCCATGTCCCATGCCATGTGTGTGTCTGCATGTATGCCTGTGTGCATGTCTGTCTGTGGGTGCATGCATGTGCTTGTGCATCTGTGTACACACATGTGTGTGTGCGTGTGTGTGTGTGCCCAAACGTGGCCCCCCAACAGGCGGAGATAGAGAGTGCAAGGGCAGCGTTGGACAAGGAAGCAGTGGACTACGATGCCACCATGACCACCAAGCTGCGCATCGCACGCGCCGTCTTCCAGTGGGACGGCGACCGCCTGCTCGCCTCCCAGCCCTTCAAGGACTACTTCCACGAGAACCAGGTGCGTGGAGCGGTGGGGGGTGGTGTAGGACGGTAAGCGAGGAGGGGTTGTTGTGGAGGGGCAGGTGGGGAGGGGTGGGAGGGGACGGGTAGGAGGATAAGAGCGTTGTAAGGAGCTCGGAGAGGAATGTGGTGGCAGCAGGACACGAGGTTGCTGTTTGTATGTGGGAGGGGCCGGCGGGTACATGCATGCTCTGGCACTGCCTGTCTGGCCACTGCACGTCCTTGTCTTGAACCCTGGTGCTGCGCTTTGTCTCTCCGCCCATTCCCTCGCCTGTGTCGGGGTGTGTGTACCCAGGACTGGCTGAAGCCGTATGCGGCGTTTATGTTCCTGAAGAAGCTATTTGGCACGGCGGACCACACGCTGTGGGGCACGCTCGCCAACTACTCGCAGGAGCAGGTGCGCTGCGCTGTGCCATGCCGAGCCCCAATGCCTCCATTTCCTCGCCACATCCGCTCTCCATCTCTTTCGGCGCTCGGCTTGTCGGCAGTCCCTGCTACACCTGTACTCTACCCGAGTCCATGCTCGACAGTTGCACTGTGCCTGGTCTCTGCCAGAATCACCTCTCACGCACCAGCCTCTGCATGGACTTGTCACGTGCTCGCGTGCTCCAAACCCTCATGTGTGCTTCCCCTCGGCCCATGCCCTTCCCACCATGCATGGCAGGTGGATCGCATAGTGGCGCCAGGCACGGACTATTATGCCACCATCGCATTCACGTACTACGTGCAGTACCACCTGCACGTGCAGGTACGCATTCTGGAATATGAGCCGCACCAAGCTTCAACATGTTGCTCAAACCAGAGCGGTATTCTGTTGTTGTTGCTGAAGTGCAGTGGGGATGGCATGGCAGTATCACCTGCGCGTGCAGATGTCTGTGCTGTACCTCTCTGCACACCACTGCTGCCCCATCTCCAACGTCATCGCCACTTCCATCCCTATTTCCCGTCCCCATCTCATCTCCTCCATCCCCACACACCACCCCTGTATCTCCCCAGCTCCTGGACGCGGCATCATACGCGCACGAGCGCCACGTGGTGCTCAAGGGCGACCTGCCCATCGGTGTGGACCGCTGCAGCGTGGACACGTGGCGCTTCCGCTCGCTCTTCCACATGGACACGTCCACGGGCGCGCCACCCGACGCGTTCTCGTCGGAGGGGCAGAACTGGGGCTTCCCCACCTACAACTGGGAGGCCATGGGCAGGGATAACTACGCGTGGTGGCGCGCACGGCTCACACAGGTGTGGGGATGGGCGTGTGTGTGGGTTGGGGGGAGGAGATAGGGCCGAGTGAGTGGGGCTCATGGGAATAGTGGCAGGGGCGGATGGTGAGAGCACGGTGCTTCGCCGTGCTATGTGTGGTTCTCCCCTCGTTTTCTCTGTGCTCACAGATTGTGCCTGTCTTTCCCTCGTGTTGCTATTGCAATCGCTGCCTGCCCTGTCCCCTCCCCACTGTTGTGCATGTGCGTGGCAGATGGCCAAGTACTTCAGTGCGTACCGCATAGACCACATCCTGGGCTTCTTCCGCATCTGGGAGCTCCCTGACCATGCCGTCTGCGGCATTCTCGGCCACTTCCGCCCCTCCATCCCCATCTCCGCGGTATACCACCCCTCTCCTCGCCTTGCCTTTCTTAACTCGCCATGATGATTTGTTGACACAGCAGAAGCGTGCTGCCATGGTGTGCACTGCCGTTCTGCGTTCAAGTTGCTTGTCGCACCACCCTGTTGCATCTCAGGCATGGTAGGCGAATATGGGGGAGCTGCATTGCATGTGTTCCAATGGGCCCTCAGTCTAGCATGTGTGCTCTGTTGTGCACGCCCTATGACTCATAAATGTGTGCGTACCACTGTGTTGCACTGCATGCCGGCACCCACTGGGGCCATGGCAGGAGGAGATGGAGAAGGAGGGCGTGTGGGACTTCAACCGCCTGTGCGACCCTTACGTGCGCTGCCACCTGCTGCAGGTGCGCCCTCCTCGCTCGTCTTGCCCCTCCTGCTCAAGTGTGCTTCGCTGCTCTTTTTGCATAATCCATTTCTTATTCTGCGCTTTATTCGCTTATTTTCGGCGCATGTTTGAGAGAGGTTATTGACTCTCTGTGCATGTGTGAGTTTATGTGTGTGTGCCTGTACGCACAAATGTGTATGTGTACATGTGTGTGTTTGGGCATCTGTGTGCGTTTGTGTGATTGCATCTGTGTGTGTGTGTGTGCACGTGCATCAGGAGAAGTTTGGCCAACGGTGGGCAGAGATCGCCTCCAAGTTCTTTGAGGAGTATCAGCACCTCTGCTACAGGGTAATGTGATGTGCTACAGGGTAATGTGATGTGCTACAGGGTAATGTGATGTGCTACAGGGTAGGTCCATGCTATAAGCATGCAGGATACAGCATTCAGAATATGGTGTTTAGGTTTGCTAGAGGTATACAGGGTCTATGATATCATTGCACAAGCATGCTTCATCCAGCTGTCAACGTACTGTTGCCAGCACGTCCAATGCACCCGTCTTCACACGATGGGTGCTTGTTAGAGCGCATTCTCAAGCCTGCGAATTGTTCCTGTGGCACATGGCACTTGACACCCAACTCACGGCACACGGCACATGTTATTCCCCCCTGGCAGTTCAAGAAGGAGTACGACACAGAGAAGAAGATTGTGGCAGCTGTGCAACCCAGAGAGGGCTCGCCAGAGTGGCTGGAGGAGGAGGCCAAGGAGACCCGCAAAGGCCTGCTCTCACTCTTCCAGGTGCCGCCTCATCCCTCCTCCTCCTCCTTTTGCTGCTGCTGCAATATGTACTCTCTTTTACCTCCATGTTGCTAGAGCAAGCTGTACTACTGTGCATCTGTATGTGCTGCTTCTCAAACATTTCTCTCATCCACTCCATCCCTCCTTGCCATTTCCCCCCCACAATGCTAATCCCATGATGCGTGCAGAGCGTGGTGTTGATCCGCACGCAGGACGATCCGCGCAAGTTCTACCCGCGCTTTGACTGCGAGAAGACCGCCAGCTTCATGGAGCTCGATGAACACACGTGGGTGGAGAGGGGTGCAGGGGGGTGCAGGGTGGTGCAGGGGGGTGCAGGGGGGTGCAGGGTGGTGCAGGGTGGTGCACGGGGGTGCAGGATAGAAGGGAAGGAGGGATGGAGTGGAGCATGACATGGAGAGAGGATAGGAAACGGGGGGCATGATTAGTGTGTGTGGTGCTCCATATGTAGTTACTCACGCCCACATGATTAGTGTGTGTGGAGCAGCAGAGCACTCCACCTGCTACCATCTCACTGCACCACTTTGTTTGGCTCCAGGCCGCAACTCCTAAAGTAACCACCCTCTGCCCCCATTCACCACTGCGCTGCCTCCCTCACCACTCTTCATCCACCCACATTCCCCTCCCCTTCCCACCCCTCCCCTCCCCTCCTCCACTCTCCTTCCCACTCCCATCGCTTCCCCTCCCCCCATCGTCACCTGCTCTCATGCCCCCCCCCTTCTGCCCATGCCCCGTGCCTTCACAGCAAGGCGGTGGTGAAGAGGTTGTACCTGGACTACTACTACTCTCGGCAGGAGACTCTGTGGCGCAGCAACGCGCTCAAGACGCTGCCCGTGCTCATGAACGCCTCCGACATGCTCGCCTGTGGGGAGGACCTGGGCCTCGTCCCTGCCTGCGTGCCGCCCGTACGTGCCATGCCGAGCTGTGATGCTGTTGTGGTGCTGTGGCCCCTCGTGCTCTCTTTGTTAGGGCTGTTGGCCTTGCTGCGGTGCTGATTGCTTGTGCCTGCTCATTGCTACACCACCTGCACCCGTTTCCCTGAGGGAGGGACACCCCACTACCCAGCCCTCTAGCGTGGTATTCCCTGCCATTCATTTCTCGTAACCCACCCCTGCCATCCCTCCCCTGCCAAACTCTCCCATGCCATCCCTGCCATATGCCGTTCCTCCCCATCCATGTGCCTTCCATTCCTGTGCAGGTGCTGGCGGAGTTGGGGCTACTGGGGCTGCGCATTCAGCGCATGGCCACCAAGATAGGCCAGGACTTTGGCAACCCTGCAGAATACGACTACATGACGGTGCGTGGGGCCCCGGGGGCGCTATGCGTTGAAGGTTTGTTGACAACAAACAGAGAGTTTTGTTGGTTGCTGCTCCTCAGCTTCCCTAGGCAAGTCAATCACAGATTTTTTTTTTTTTTTTTTTAATCGATTGGTACTAGGCAGAAGGAGCAGCATACCAACGCAAATCACTTCCTCTGTCCAACTCTCTGTCTTGGTGCCTTGCCCGGTCCGCCCAGGTGTGTGCGCCGTCGTGTCATGACACGTCAACGCTGCGCGCATGGTGGGAGGAGGAGCCCGAGAGGCGTCACAAGTTCTTCCGCTCCGTGCTCGGCTTCAGCTCGCCTGCTCCCGACCGGTGGGTGCTCCCATGCCTGCCCCCACTGCTGACCCTTTCTTTTCCACTCCATTCTTGCACATTCCCATACACTTTGAATTGAGCTTCCGTGTGCCCTTGGTATGCCACCACCCGCCACGCACCAAGTTCATCTCTCCGACTCCCCTCTGCCTCCTCTGCCGCCCATGCTGACATCCCTTGTGACCACGCCCTTTCCCACTCCCATCCCCCATGCGCCCTGGCTGCAGGTGTACACCGGATGTGGCGAGGGCCATTATCCAGCAGCACTGCGATGCTCCGAGCGTGTGGGCCATATTCCCCCTGCAGGTACCCTTGCTCTCAGCTGCTTGCTGCTTGCTGCTTCCTAGCACTGCATCGACCCCTGCATCTTTCAACAATTCCGCATCCATCCATGCAACTCACCCATGCACTGTGCCTGTACTCTGCACTCGCCCATGCACTGTGCCTGTACTCTGCACTCGCCCATGCCATGCCCTGCTCATTCTATGTGTCCGTTGTGCAACGCTGTTGTGCCATCCGTAATCATGTGTCGCCACGCGCTGCTCATGTGTGTGTGTGGGGCATCAGGACCTGATGGCGTTGAGGGAGGAGTATTTGACACGCCCAGCCAACGACGAGACCATCAACGACCCCACCAACCCTCGCCACTACTGGCGATTCCGTGAGCTGCCCCTTCCGCCCGTCCCCCCTCTCTCGCTGTCTCTCAACTCGGCCTCCACACTGTGGTGGCACGTCGCAGTGTTCACCCTGCCTGCGCATGCGGTGCACAATGCACGCCATTCAGCTCTTTGCATACACGCCATGTCCATGTGCTCTGCTCTCTCCACACAAAGCAAGCCGTACCCTCCTCCGCCTTCCCTCCCACCGCACTCACTCGCCTCCCTTCCCTTCCCTCCCTCCCCGCCCCTCCCACTCCCTCCCTGTGCCCGCCCGACAGGGGTGCACGTGCGGCTGGAGGACCTGGTAACGGACTCAGCGCTCATCACGAGCCTACAGCACATGCTGCTGGCCAGCGGGCGCACGGCCCCTGCAGACCTGCCCGACCGCTACCGGTCGTCTGCTGTGGACTTCCTGGCGCACTCTGTGGGCAGCCTCAGCCTCTCCCACCCCCCCGCCACTCTCGGCGCCGCTCCCTCCCCGCTGCTCGCTCTCTCGCTTGGACCCATTCCTTGAAGGAGAAGAGGGGGATGGGGAGGGATGGTTGGGGATGAGGGGGGGTGAAGGGGGGTGAAGGAGGTGGGGAAGCATGTGTGGTGTGGGTGCACAGGTCATTCTTATGCAATACGTTGAATCAGCAGCAGAAGGGCCGGCTCGTCCTGCACTCCTTGTAAGCCGAAAGCACGGAGGAGGAAGGTGGGGAGGGGAGGTGGGGAGGGGAGGGGGGGAGGAGTGAGGGGTGATAGGGTGTCAATCCAATAAGAGAATGTGGGGAACCTCTTACGAAACAAGTCTAGAATGTGTGGTGAGGTATGCTCGGACGTAGCAAGCTACTGCTCAGGCCCTACGATATCAGGAATTTTTCCCTGAAATTCCTGATTTTCAGCCTAGTTTTGTGTACCTACACTGAATTTTCAGTGTTGAGATTTTTGTGACACTGATTTTTTCAGCCTTTACTTCATAGCTAACACTGATGTTTCAGACTTTTATCGAAGTGTACACTGAATGCACATTCCGAATCCTTCCCGTAAAATACCCGAGACAATAAGTCAACCAACATTTCCACATAATAAAATATTGTGTTAAAAAATACAACTGGCTTAGTGGTTAGCGAAGTAGATACCGAATGGTAAGGTTTCCTAAACCCGAATCCCTCTACTAACGTGTTCGTAAAGGCTACTCTCTTGCATAATTGCATGATGTGATTGAAAATTCAGGCTTTTGTTTTCCGGAACCCTGAAAATTCAGGCTTTTTTTTTTAGGAACCCTGAAAATTCAGGCTTTTTTTCACAGGGACCCTGATGCATCAACGTCCCTAAAAGTGAATCTGAGGGCCTGCTACTGCTGTACAACATGTATGGGGCACCACACCACTGCCTTAGTACACTACACTACACTGCCCCCTACCTGCACAGACTCTGCTGCTCAGTTCTTCTTTGCTTGCTGTGCAGTGGGTGCATGCTGGTGACCTTGTGTCATGTTTATCCCAGGCTTTCTAGATAGTTTGTCACAGCCAACCAAATGTAGTGCAATTCTAGGCGCTAAACCCTGCTTGCTACCGTACGTGCATGTTGGGTCTTAGAATAGAATGCACTGATTATCAGGTTTCAATGTTTTTTGTTGTGACACCGTTACAGAACATGATTACCGGAATTTTGGGGTGCACATGTAGCTTATACTTGTATTGTGTGAATCTTGAACCCGGCCATTCTCTCTTCTTTACCCTTGTCCCTCGCTCATTACCATCCTTCCCTTACGTGCTCCCTAAAAACCATCATAAACCACAGCAAGTTTCACCTCCATTCCATTGTTACACATGCCTCTGTGCCTTGTTTCACCAGTTTAAAAACACATGGGCACGACAAATACAATCAGCACAGCCTAATCAACTGGCACACACAGCAGACTCATCAGCACCACTGCCAACCCCATGCCCAGCACCTGCAGCACCAGCAGCAGCGCGTGCTTTCACTGCCCACGGCAGCCGGCTGTTGGAGCGCCGCCCCATGGCGCGCTTCACATGGCCCTCGCCCTCCTCCAGCGGGGGAGGCGGCGAGGCCGTGAGGCACACAGCAACGACCGTGAGGTTGTCCCACGCGCCTCTCCTCAGCGCCTCTGCCACCAGCTCCTCGGCGCACTTCTGCGGGTCGTTGTGTGTGCGCAGCTGCCTGCGTGCATAGTCCACTGCGTTCTCACTGCGGAACACGTCCCAGAGGCCATCACTGGCGAGCAGCAGGAACTCGTCCTCGTCGGTCAGTGTGATCTCCCACACGTCGGGACTTGCAATGAGCGGCCCTTTGCTCACCCCCGAACACACGTGCCGCTGCTGCTTGTGCTCCCAGCGAGTCGACGAGGCGTGCGTGTGGTGCTGAGAGTGATGGTGGGAGTGGAAGGGCCAGCCGAGGGAGCGGTAGAGGTGGCTCCAGTGCTGCTTGTGCCCGTGGAAGCGAGAGCGCACTGCCCCGCCGTGACTGTGGTCTCGAGGAGATGGGTAGTGCCGAGGATGTGTTACATGCTGGGGAAAGGCCTCCCCGTTTTGCCGTTCATCCACAGTAGAAGCAATTTCTTCAGTCCGGAGCGAGTGGGGCTCAGTGGCGGTGGAGAGGGGAGTTGGAGTGGGTGAGGAGGGCACAGGAGGCGAGGGGTCATGTGCAGTTGGTGCAGAGGCAGCAGGTGGTGGAGAAGGGGAATCACTTGAAATGTGTGATGACTTGAGGTCCTGCCACAAAGAAAGACATAGGGAAGTGAGCTTTGAGAAGCCATGGAAAGAAGCCATGGAAAGAAGCACCAGAATGCATAATCACAAGCCGTCGCCTTCCTGAGTTCCATAATCCATGCTCCCATCTCTCACCGTTCCCCTGCACAGAATGAACACTTACGCCTCTCCTCCTCACTCTTCCTCACACCCGGTCAGCACACAACATGCAGGCAAGAGCTGGTCATTCTACCCATGGTGCATGTGGGACTGGCAAGAGTCTGACCTTAAGATGCCAGTTGCCGAGCGCACGTGTGACCATGAGGTACCCGTTCAAGTAGCCGTCCACCACGTGCCCCCCTGCTGCCTCCACCCGCTGCCGCTCCGAGTGGCAGTGCGACGCACGGTGGTCGCGCGATAACAGGATGCTGCGGCCCCGCCGACACAGCACCGCCCTGCAGTCCCCTGCGTTTGCCACCACCAACGACCTGCCACATGGGGATGGGAACGATGGGTGGTATCATTAGTGTTAAATGTGTGCACACATATAGATGCGCACATGAATAGATACACACACATACACACACATGGTAAGGAAGAGAAGAAAGGATTCAACAGAGAGACGAGAGACCAATGAGAGACCCTATGTTGCTTCGCTCTGCCTAGCAGTAGCTTTGTTTCGCCTACCCAATGTTGCTGTACAGTTCTTTATATTCAATGATTAGAGCCGTTCGTGAGAGAAGTGGGACAAGGGGAAAGAGGTGAGGCTGGGAAGGAAAGGGACGGCACCTGTCAGCAAGCACAGCAGTGAGAGCGGTGGTGCCGGACTTGGCGGCATGGCCGGCGGACCATGCGGAGGCGAGCTGGTGGTCCGTGGCGAGGAAGGCGCGGTGCAGCGCGCACGGCACGTGCGCCGTGAAGGCGGTATCCGCCAGCAGATGGCGCACTATCGCCCCTGCTGCAAACTCCGCCGCTTCCACTGACCCCTCGTGGCCGTCAAACACCTGGCGCATGGGATGAGGGGCGCGATGATGCGATGCAAGCAGGGAGACGGGGAGGAGGCAGGAACGAGACGGCGTGAATATGGGAAAGAACTCTACGTGAAGCGGCGGGAAGGAGAGTGGCGGAGGATGGGAGAGAGAACGGCAACAACATAGAGAGCATGAGAGGAACGAAGAGGGAGTGGTGAGTCAAGAGCGGGAGAAAGAGAGCGGAAATAGGAAAAAACAGAGGGTGCGAGATGGAGAGGAGGAATGGGGGAGGCAGCGAGGGCGGAGGGGGGGGGGAAGGGAGAAGGGGACGAGAAGAGACCCCATGAGATTTGAAGGGACGACGTTGCCTGCACGGATCCGAAGCGGATGGCAACGGGGGCGGGAGGAGGGGGAAGGGGGGGGGGGGGGGGAAGGGGGGAGGTGTGGAGCATGCGGACGGGAATGAACATACCCCGTAGAACGCATAACGAGTCGGTGATGACGCCTGCTGAGGCAGCTCAGGTAGTTGCACCGTGGACGTCGGCGCGGAGAGCGGAGCGGCGGCGGCGGCGGCGGCGGCGGAGGAGGAGGAGGAGGAGGAGGAGGAGGAGGAGGAGGAGGAGGAGGAGGAGGAGGAGGAGGAGGAGGAGGAGGAGGAGGAGGAGGAGGGGGGGGGAGCGAGGAGCGGGGGAGCGGAGTGGCACCAGGCGTGCAGGTCGTCGATGGCGACGGGCACGTCCTCCATGTGCCCGCGGAACCCGTCGTGCGCGCAGCTCCCAGAACGCACGCCTGCTGCCGCCGCCATGCGCCGCGCGCTCTGCCCCTCCGCCGCGTCCCCTTGCTCCGCCTGACCCGCCGCGACGAGGCGGTGGCCGCTGCAGGAACAGCAGCGCTGCGGAGGCAAGCAGGGCGGGAATTCAAAGAGCGGACGGATTGGTGAAATCTACCCCAGACATACGTGCGCGCATGCATGCGTGGGGGAAAGGGAGTTGGCGCCTGTGCGCGTGCACGAGCGCATGTATCATTGAGGGGAAGAGAATTAGTGGAGGGAGGGAGGTAGGATGTGAGGGCGGTGGATGGGTGGTGATGCGGAGTAATAAAGACATGAAACCAACGGCGGAGACGGGACACAAGGTTAAGCGACCAAGTCGGGGAGATGCAAGGGGTTAAGGAGGCATCATCCCCCAGGTACACGCGCAAGATCCAGCAGCGCAAAACCCGGTGTGCGCGCCTCACCTGAGCGGATTCAGCGCCGGTGCTTGACTGCAACGGGTCCGCGGATTCAACAGGCAAAGATGGCGCGGGTGGCGGAGATGCAGCGGCAGCGGGGTGGTGAGGATCAGAGGGGCTGGCGCAGCAGCTGATATGCCAAACAGTCACGTCGGCGGACTGATCGTGCGACGTGGACGACCACGAGCATAAGTGCGCGGAGTCGCCACGGTGCTCATGCGGCGGTGCGCTCGGCACGTGCTGGCGCGCAACATGCGCCGATCCGCGCGTTTCATCGCCGAAGCGCTCTGCGCCGACGTCGTCCGCCTGCTCCTGGCGAGCCGAGCTCAGCTGCACCTCGTCGCCTGGCGGATCACGATCGTTGCTTCGCGGCGCCACAGGGCAGTCGTTGCGGTCGGCAATCCCATCATCTCCCTGCCCTTGGACCGTGCCGCACTCATCGTCGCGCTTGCCGCCGCCTCCTGCGCCAGCAGTTGCTAGATCCAGCTGCGCTCCCTGCTCCTCCACGGCCAAGCGATCCCTGCATTCCACAACAGTCCCCGAGCCCTGGCTTTGATCCGCGTTCATCGATGCTTCAGTCATGTCACCAAACCCACCTGCTTACGGTTAACTAAGCTGCT